CGCGCGCGTGCCAGTCAGATGGCACGGCCAGGGCCCCGGGCCGTCCGGGCGCGCCCGCGGTCGACAGCGGCGCTTGCGGCATTGGGCCCTTCACACTTAACCCAGGCGGAGAACATAACCCTGCGTCCGTGTTTGAAGGGGTGCTGCGGCATGGGGTTGGGCATGCGCAGTCTCCCATAAACGTGCCAGCGTTTGGTCAATGCAGAGGCAGTCGCTCTTGGCCTGGTATGAGCCAGCGTTCGTGCTGTTCCAGCAGCGGGCAGACGGCGGCCACGCTTCCCTGGACGCGCGCGCGCGCCGGGATTTCAAGTGCCATGCGGAATCGCAAGCGCACGGTTGCGTTGGACTCGGGGGTGGCCTTAATTGGCCACTGGCGGTGCGCGATGCAAGCTTGCCGCGTGCAGGGGACGCGCCCCAGCAACGCGACGTGGGAGTGTAACGCGGACGTCGTTACCTACGACCCTGCGTGGGAATTGTGCATTGCGTTGCGTCTTGTCTGGTTGCTTCATCGCGCTTCTGTCGCAGCGTTGGGCCTGTGCCCGTCGCGTTGGATAGCCGCGCGGCTCATAGCCATGCCAGAATTGATACTTACGTTCGTTATGGGCCGAGGCAGTGCGCGGCACGCGGCATGGCGATCCTGGGGCGCCAAGGTGCGCCGCGACGCGCGCGTTCGCAATGCCCCGCCCGACGCGCGCATTCGTGGTTCCGTTGCGTGCTGGCAATCGGATGCTCGGGCGCCGTCGCATTATGCGCGTTGTGCCGCTTCTCTTCAATGCGGTGCCATCTCAGGTCGGCGGCTGGGCGATGGCGCCCTCGGCGCCCGCGCGACATCATGTGGCGCGAACCAATGGCGAGGCGGTCGGCGTTCCCCTCGCCGTCCGCCGCGCTTCAGCGCGAGCCGCCCCACGTGCCAGCTATGCGGGCGGTCTCCGTGCAGCGTCGTCTTCATCGTTAGCTGGGCGCGCGCCCCTTCGATCATGGCGCCCGTGAGTTGCGCGGCGCGGCGGCGCTCGCCGCGGCCGCCAGCGCCCGCCTCAGGTCGTTGACGCGCGAGCTTCCAGTGCGTGTGTCCAGGTTCTCAGTTTCAAACCGTGGTCGTGGGTGCCGAATGTACAGGGCGCTTATCTTGCTTCTGCGCCTGGGCGAGCCCGCGTGCCCCTGCCCCGCTGGGCCATCATTCCACGCTGCGCCGAGCGAGGCGGGCGCGCCCCGCGGGCGCGCCAGGCGTCGAAGCTGCCCGCGTGGAAACGGCCCGCGTTGATGCGCGGGCCAGACGACGCGACCAGGCAACCAGGCCGTCGACCGGTCTTGCCCGACAGCTCGTTCGTCGATCGAGCGCGGGCCATTTCTCATGCTGCGCTGTGGGGTCTTTTTGTCTTTCGCGCAATGCCCCGCGCCTCTCGGCGCGGCCGCGGTGCGATCCCGCGCGCGTGCCGCGGGCCCTTCGACGCTTCAGCGCGCGTGTAGGGCGTTCCCGCGCGTCCGAGGTGCCGCGTCCAGACCGCCGATGACCGCTCCGGTGTGTTCGCAGGTCTAGTCGACGCAGTTCCGGCGCCGACATGCCGCGCGTCCGAGGCGCCCTGGCTGGCCCCCGCCCGCCCGAGCGCAGTCGCCGTGCCAGGCGCCGCGCGCTCGTGATTTAAGGGTGGGGAGGCGCGGCGGGGGGGTCTGCGCGCGCGCCCGCGCGTGCTCCTCTCCCCAGCTAGAGCGGTGGCCTAGGGCAAATGGCACGGGCCGCGTCAGCGGCGCACTGTCGGGGGGGAAGTGGATGCTGTTGCCGCGGGGTTGTCGCGGGCGCCCCGCGGCCCAGCAAGCTGCGCGCGCTTGCTGCAGCGCGATCTTGTTAGCGGGTCCGATGCGCCGCGCGCGCCCCCAGGGCGCCGCGGGCGCCGCCCCGCGCGCGGGGGCGGCGGTCGTCGCCGGCGGAGGGCGGGCGCTGGCGCGCGAGGGGCGCTGCCCTGGCTCGCGCTGGCCCGTCTGGCGCAGCTGCCAACTTATGGGTGGCCTTCGCGGGCCCGGGCCGCCCTGCCCGGGGGGGGCGGGCGGCTTCGTCGCCCCGGGCCTAGCGCCCGCGGCTCCGCAGCAGCCCGCCGCCGGGCCGAGCTCGGCCATTCCGATGCTCGACCGCGCTCGCAAATCTTTGATCCAGGGGCGCCGGAGGCGCGCGGGCCCCGTGGGTAATCTAGGCTGCGCGGCGCGCCGGGGCCTCGCGCGCGCCGGGCCGCGCGGCGGCGGCTGGCCAGGCAGGGCGCGCGGGGCGTGGCTGGCCGGGCGGATTTTTTTTCGGCGGCGCGGCGGCGCGACATGGGGCCCTCGCCTCCGCGCGCGCGGCGCTCGAGCGGCGAGTCTCGCTGCGGGTGCGCGGCGGACTTCCCGGCGTCTTATTCGGCTGCGGGCGCGCGGGCGGATGTGAAATGTCGCCGGGCCACGCGCTGATGGCGACCCCGTCGCGTCGTCCTGCGGTGGGCGGTTGGGCGGGGCAGTTTGGGGCGCCGCTGCCCCGTCGCCTCCGCGCGCTCCCCCGCGCGCGGCGTCTCGCCGCGCGATGGCG